GCTGGATTCGAACCCACCACCTTAGGTGTATGTGGCTGGCGCCTTAGCCACTTGAGCCACAGGCGCCGAGCCAGCACCCTACTTCTTGAGCCACAGATGCCGCCCCTACTTATTTATTCTTCCATACATACTTTAAAGTCAGCTAGTCCAGTCATCAAAATAATCCTGTCATTGCTTTTATTTTTTATTATTTTATTTTTATTTTTTTAGAGACAGAGTCTTACTTTATCGTCCTCGATAGAGTGATGTGGTATCACAGCTCACAACAACCTCCAACTCCTGGGCTTAGGCAATTCTCTTACCTCAGCCTCCCAAGTAGCTAGGACTATAGGCGCCTGCCCCAATGCCTACCTATTTTTGTTGTTGTTGTTGCAGTTTGGCCGGGGCCAGGTGCCTCCCCTGTCATTGCTTTTAATTGAATGAGTACTATTTATAGATTTAAGAAAAATTGCTGTCATTATAATACTGAATAACCCTAAATATTGTGTTTTGTTCATGACTATCGTAAATGACAACTATCTTTTATCATATTTATTTTCAAGTTGGTGTTGTTTAGATACAGACAAGTTGACTGCCTTACTGAAATCTCTTAGTGTTTAAAGTACTTTTTCAGTTAATTTCCTGTTTTTTTCAAACGTACAATTATCTCTGTATTGCACAGCTGAAACAATCAACAAAGATATTGAGACCTTCAGAGACCTGATCATTACAACATAAAACTTGCCTCTTCATTTCCAATTTTGATGCATCCTGTTACTTTCTCTCACTACTGTCAGCTAGTACTTTTTCCTTTGTTTAGTGTGAAAGTGTGGCCTGTTTCCTCACCCAAGACCATCACATTTAAAAAATTTTAATTTTTAAAAATATATTTTAGAAATTTTTTCTGAAGAAGAAGGTACTACCATACAGTGGATGTCATCTGTGAATGCAAAGATTGAAGATAAAAAAGTGAAAGGAGAAAATAAACTAACTTCAGAAAAATTGGAGCATCTCAGAAAGGAAAAGGTTAGAAAAATTTCTTAGCCTCAAAAGTATGTTTTTCTGACCTAGTGACTTTTTCACTGGACTTAGATTATTGTTGTCAAGTGAACATATTTTTGTTAAAATAGAAGATTACTTCGATTCATTTAGATCATTTTCATTTGTTTTAATGAAAACAAAGTAGGCATTTGCACTATAGTTGGAAATTTTTAAGTTTAAAAATCTGAAGATAATATCTACATGTAGATTATAATCAATATATTTATTCAAGTTGTTTTTTTTGTTTGTTTTTGTTTTTTGAGACAGAGCCTCAAACTATCCCCCTGGGTGGAGTGCTGTGGCTTCACAGCTCACAGCAACCTCCATCTCCTGAGCTCAAGCGAGTCTCCTGCCCCAGCCTCCCAAGTAGCTGGGACCACAGGCGCCAACCACAACGCCCGGCTATTTTTTGGTTGCAGCTGTCATTGTTGTTTGGCGGGTCCAGGCTGGATTCAAACCCACCACCTTAGGTGTACGTGGCTGGCGCCTTAGCCACTTAAGCCACAGGCGCCGAGCCGACCTATTCAAGTTGTAAGAGTCATAGTGTGTTTAGAATTAACTTTTAAAATTTCTTAACCCCTTTTCATAAACAAAAATTTGACTCCTTTTCTTCTCTTTGTTGAGCTCAGTGGTTTAGAAGGACTAGGGAATATAAGAGTAGGCTATAGAAGAAACAACAAATATACTGTTTTTGTATTTGCTGTATACCTGTCATGTTCCTGATGGAAAAATGTGTTCAGTTCACTTTGGGGATTACTGTGGCAATGCTTCAATAACGCAGTAACCAGAATTTGGCTGTCTCTGATCAAAGAATGGGGAAACAAATAAAATCAACACTACTAGATTCCACTTTTGGCACTCAGTTTTAATAAGTAGAGTTTTAGGCTCGGTGCCTATAGCTCAACCGGCTAAGGCGCCAGCCACGTACACCTAAGGTGGCGGGTTCGAATCCCCAGCCCGGACCCGCCAAACAACAATGATAGCTGCAACCAAAAAATAGCCGGGCGTTGTGGCGGGCGCCTGTAGTCCCAGCTACTTGGGAGGCAGAGGCAGGAGACTCGCTTGAGCCCAGGAGTTGGAGGTTGCTGTGAGCTGTAATGCCACGGCACTCTACCCAGGGGGATAGCTTGAGGCTCTGTCTAAAAAAAAAAAAAAATAAATAAAAAATAAGTAGAGTTTTAGGGTAAATCATCAAAAAGCATTGGTACTTGTACACTAAGTACTATGTAAAGAGACTAGATGGATTAAATGCCTACCTTCCAGAAGTTTATATAAGAGTAGAAATTATGACTATGTCAAGAACATTAGTACATAGGTATGAATACGACATATTGATAAGAAGGAAACATAGACGGGTTTCATTGTTATGATGGTCTTTTGTCAAAGGGCATGAAATGTACCTATTATCTGTGATGTTTTCTGGCTTGAAGTTAACTATGAAGTTTCATATGCTACTAAAGTTTAACCCGGAAATGCTTACTGTTGCTCTATAACATCTGAGAATATATTTATTTGGCATATCTATGGTAGCCATTTTAACTTCACTTTTCAGATAAACTTCTTCCGGAATAAGCACAAAATTCACATCCAAGGAACTGATCTTCCGGACCCAATTACTACATTTCAGCAACTTGATCAGGAATATAAAATTAATTCTCGGCTGCTTCAAAATATTGTAGATTCAGGCTTCCAAATGCCTACACCAATCCAAATGCAAGCTATTCCAGTTATGTTGCATGTGAGTATAAAGGTTTAGAATGCTCGGGACATTCCTTCCTCTGTGTTTGCTCATTCTTCTCCCTCTCTCTTTGAAAGCTTTCTACCTTATCTCCCCTATTAAAATCTTTCACTTGCTTTTAAGGTCTGTCTCAAATGCCTGTGCCTCCATAAAACTTGTCTTGGTCACTATGACTAGATGTGATCTCTTTCCTCACCAATATCCTTCCCCCACAACTCAATTCTCCTTGGTATTTGGCCGTGTTCTTTTTCTTGCAGCATTTATCTTTCATTTTACACTACTGTGTATTTGTACAATTACCTTTACTTTTTCACTTTACTAGAGTGTAAACCTTTTGAGGATGAGGACTATGTTCTATTCATTCATTGTTGATTTGGTTTATAATGCCCATGAACTATTTCAGAAATGCAAATGTTTTCTAAAATTCCTATATATAACCTTAGTTTTCTTTCTAGTACTTTTTATTATTAAAGTTTACTTCACAGACTGAAGTCGACAGAGTCTTACTTTGTCACCCTTGGTAGAGTGCTATGGCATCATAGCTCACAGCAACCTCAAATTCCTAGGCTCAAGTGATCCCCTAGCCTCGGGCTCCTGAGTAGCTGGGACTACAGGTGCCCACCACAACGTCTGGCTATTTTTAGAGACGGGGTCTTGCTCTGGCTCAGGGTGATCTCAGACCTGTGTGCTTAGGGAATCTACTCGCCTCAGCCACAGTGACTTTTTGAAGACGGTAACCTATGACTTACTCTGTCCCTCAGGTCATTGCCACTTTTTATTTCTTATCCTCAGCCATTCTGTTATTTTAGTAAAATCTTCCCTTGGGATTGAGCAGTGCAGATACTAGGACAAAAAAGTTGCTTTTGTTATTTTACTTTGAAAAAAGGTTTAGTGGAAAAGAAAAATTGAGGTAATAGAGGTAATTTAGGTTATGGGTTATCCTTGAGTTTTAGTTATCTACATTCTTTACCCATTCAAATGGACTTCGGCGGCAATGCTCAGAAACCCTGTTGGGGCAGTAGTGGCATGGAATGGATAGATGATGTTACAAGAGCAGATGGGACTTGAATGATTGGATTCATTATGTATAATTTTATTTGTTTCTACTGCTGGTAGCATTGTGACCAGACTCTGAAGGATATATGCACTTTCCCTAGAGTATTTAATATACTCTTATATTTTTAGGGTCGGGAACTTCTGGCTTCTGCTCCTACTGGATCTGGAAAAACTTTGGCTTTTAGTATTCCTATTTTAATGCAGCTAAAACAACCTGCAAATAAAGGCTTCAGAGCCCTGATTATATCACCAACACGAGAACTGGCCAGCCAGGTATGATTTATAGCTTTTGAAAAGAACGTATTTGGTGTTTGCTTCAGTGCTCTCATTTGAAGGTAATGAAAAGGTCTCAAAAGAGTAAGGCCCATGTCTTCTGTCAAGGTCAGTATTCCTATGCAGCACCTTGTTCTGTATCTTACTGAGTTTGGGCAAGTGTTTTAAGCCTTTCTATAATTTTCTGAAACATGATTTTTTTTTTTTTTTTAAACAGAGTCTCAAGCTGTCACCTGGGTAGAGTGCCATGACATGACAGCTCATAGCAACCTCAAACTCTTGGGCTTAAGCGATTCTCTTGCCTCAGCCTCCCAAGGAGCTGGGACTACAGGCACCTGCCACAATGCCCAGCTATTTTTTTTCATTGTTGTTTAGCAGGCCTGGGCCAGGTTTGAACCCACCAGCCCCGATGCATGTGGCCGGCGCCCTAACTATTGAGATCTGGGTGCTGAGCTGAAACATGATTATTTTAACATTTATTCTTAGTAAATGCTCTAAGTCCTTGAAGTTGAAAGGTTACTGAAACATATAGTCTCTTAAAAAAAAATGAAACCTCATCTCAGTTTTTGAGAAAGTAAAACTATGCAGTGATCTGCTCCACCCTCCCAATGGGCTTAGAATAAAATATATGCCACATGTGAAATAGTCTCATAATAGTACTGTTGTCTAAAAACGATATGTATCAGATTGGTTTTGTCTCTTGCCACTAGTTTACATAGCCTGAAGAAGCTATCTAATCTTATTAGGCATTGAAATTTCAAAATGAGAACCTACAGATTATTATGAGTTTAATTTCAGATACTCATGAGTTAGTAATAGATTTAATACTATGAAAGAGATTATACATCTTGTCTAAGTATTTTAGCAGCCAATGTTTTCATCATTTTCTGTTTTAGATTCACCGAGAGTTAATAAAAGTCTCTGAGGGAACAGGATTCAGGATACACATGATCCACAAAGCGGCAGTTGCAGCCAAGAAATTTGGACCTAAATCATCTAAAAAATTTGGTAAGGAACTCATGCTTGGGATGTGAGAAATGTGGAAATTACAGATACCCTAATTGTTATGTAACAGTTGTTATAGTAATGTATATAGCTTGATTTTTAGAGAAACTAAAGAGATCCCCTTCCTATTCCACCCAGTAGCCATATAAAAATACAGGGTAGCCATAAAGTTCATGTGTAATTTTAAATTGAACACTATTTAAAATTGCACATGAATTTTACAGGCCACCCTATATATACCACTGGTTCTCAAGTACAGTTTTGCCCCCTGCCCTCCACAATGGTACATTTGGCAATATCTGGAAATATTTTTAGTTGTTGTAACTGGTGAGAAGTATACTACTATCCTATATGGGGTAGAGGCCAAGGATGCTGTTAAACATCCTGCAATGCATAAGACAGCCTCTGAGAACAAAGTTATCTGGTCCAAAATAGTACCATTGCTGACATTGAAAAATCCTGCTTTATGCTATTGATTTTTTTTTTTTTTTTTTTTTTTTTTTTTTGAGATGGAGCCTCAAGCTATCCCCCTGGGTAGAGTGCCATGGCATCATACTCACAGCAACCTCCAACTCCTGGGCTCAAGCGAGTCTCCTGCCTCAGCCTCCCAAGTAGCTGGGACCACAGGCACCCGCCACAACGCCTGGCCATTTTTTGGTTGCAGCCATCGTTGTTTGGTGGGCCCGGGCTGGGGATTTGAACCCGCCACCTTAGGTGTATGTGGCTGGTGCCTTAACCGCTTGAGCCACAGGCACCGAGCCTATGCTATTGATTTTTAATGTGCTACGGAATATGGAACTATACTGGCAGAAAAGAATGACTTAAATCCCTGCCCCTTATATCAGCCTGACAATATGCTTTCATCCTTTTTTTTCCTTTTAAATCTTGAGCTTCTGAGTAAAATGTCATTTAAAGAAAGGATTTTCTGGGGTGAGAGGAAGCTTGAAAATCAAGTTATTGGATTATAGTGATCTTGCCTCTTAGAAGTTGAGATAACTGTTCAAATACAATAAAAAGAGTAGGGGTATAGTAGTGACAGATAAAAATTATATATATATATTAATTCTCTAGTAAGAAAGAATTTTTGTGGTGTTGGCTAGTGAGTGTGACTAGTCTCTTTCTGCTTTAGGCCATCAACTGAAATTGAAGAGGCTTAATTGCTAGGTCAAGAAGGATGAATTTTATTTTTGCATTTTCTACCATTTGTTTTTCCTGCAGATATTCTTGTGACTACTCCAAATCGACTGATTTATTTACTAAAGCAAGATCCACCAGGAATAGACCTAACGAGGTACAAATAATATTTTTAATGTCTTTTATTTGTATTTTTTGTGTATTAAATAGTTTCTTATATTTTGTCCTCAATTCCAACTATTTTGGCACTTTGGAGCTTACTATCTGCCAGCTTCATCACTGTTGGTGCTGAGAATAATGGTTTTCTTTAAACTCACAGAAAATTATATGGTCTGGAAGAAAGTTACACATTCTGATAAGCAGTTATTACAGAATTCCCCTATAGTTTTTTGTATCTGTCAAAAATGGTGATAGAGTTCATGAAGTTTATGTGAAGCTTTTTGTTGCTAATGGAACCAGGTATTTTTGAGGCTAGTAGATACATTGAGTTTTGCTTATCTTGTTTTTGCTGTTTGCCTGCTTATTTTTCTTACAAATTTTTTCTGGTAAGATAAAGTATATCTGAGAAGAAGCATCATAGTTTGACTTCCTTATGTGTCCCCATAGTTGAGTAAAGTGTCTTGTATCTTTTGGTTCAATATCCACAAATTACTTTGTTGTTTCTTAGTGTTGAATGGCTGGTAGTAGATGAGTCAGACAAACTATTTGAAGATGGCAAAACTGGGTTCAGAGACCAGCTGGCTTCCATTTTTCTGGCCTGCACATCTCCCAAGGTCAGAAGAGCTATGTTCAGTGCAACTTTTGCCTATGATGTTGAACAGTGGTGCAAACTCAACCTGGACAATGTCATTACTGTATCCATTGGAGCAAGGTATTTGATTGTATTTCCACATTATCCCACTGATTTTTAAAAAATATGTCACTTTCTTTAACTGAAGTAGGTTGTTTGGCCTGAGACTAATAAGGGGTAATTTTACTAATAAAAACTGAAGTCAACATTGATTAAAGATTTTCGATTTTAGAATAAGCCAAAGGGAGGTTCTCACATTGTCATTACTATTCCTATTATCATGGTTTTAGGTGCTTTATCCTTTCACAAAGTATGATATGAGCTCTGTGGCCACCCAAAGGATTTAGTTTCATTTATAGGTTAAGTAAGTAGAAGCACCAC